GCTCTTCATGCAAGTTTATCAGACTCTAAGTGATCATCCTGTAATCTTTATAAGAGGGTTTTTTTTTTTCCCTGTGGCCTTTTATAATCACCATCTTTCTACCTTTAAAATAGACTCCAGTTCCTTGAATTAGTAAAAGCAGTTGAGAATAGGCTATTCCAGGTACTCGGCACCAGTAGCTTTACTTATTGCCTGCACACTTGCATCCTGAGCTACTGCTCTGGCTGTCACACTCTGTTGCTCTTCACACTGGACAAGGTTTATTTTATTCCAATTGTTATATGAAAAATCCTGTTATTATCTTTGCTCTAGTGCTGTTTTACCTTGCATCAAAACACTGTCTGTGCAGCTCATAATCCCCACAATACTGTGTAAGAAGTGCTATGCTCTCTCCTGACATACTGCAATCCCTAAGCCCAACCTGAACGGCAGCCTAAACCTCCTGAAGGGGCTATTGAATTTGTACAAACCTGTACTTTGTCTCTCTGTGGATGATTGTGGGAATACACTTGACGTGTTCAACACAGAGAAATATATGGCACTTTGTCACTGTCTTTATCCCCTTGAAAGCAGTAGGAAATATTTATATTTTCTTTTTTATTTACACAATTATTTTCAGCTTATACCAAGTAGTAGAAAAATGCACCCACGCTGTTGGTTTGATATTTTCCTTTGTGACCATCAGAACAACAGCTATTTCCAGCTCCAATTTAAGTCTCTGTGTATAGTCAGGGAGCATCCTGGAAGAAAAAATGATTTGTGGCACAGGAGGCACAGGGAGCAGCCTGGAGTATTGATCTGCAGCAGTCTGACTAATCTGCCCACGCCTGATGAGGGGAGAACTGCTGGACCACCCTGGATACCCCCATTGCACAACACTCCCACCTCTTGCCTGCACAGCCCCAGCCTGAGATAACCGCAGCTGGGAAGGATGTGCAGTGGCAGAAGTAATTACTGGATCTATCCCCAGTCCTGTATCAGAAGCGCTGATTTCCAGGGATCTGCTTCTCCTGCCCCTGTTCCCAACAGCTCTGGAGGCATAGGAGAAGCATTGCTTTACCTGTGGGGTGATGGACGTGAAGGGGAGTGATAGGAGGGGACAAAAAAGGCCAAATCCCACCCTAATCCAACCCAAGACATATCTGACCTGTCCCAGTCCCCTTCACTTACTGTGAAGTTATGCAGGTCCCTCAACACTCCCTTGTTCTCTTGTTCCCTTGTTGATACCTCTTCTTGCACAGCTAAGAGAACTTTCTTTGCACCTCTGAGCCAGGTACGTCTCAGAGCAAGGAGTGGCCGTTCCCAGCTCTACTCTTTGCCTTGTTGAAACAATCTCTGTCACCTGGAAAGTGTTCTTTGGTTCTTCCTCCAGTCTCCCACTTTTCCAAGGATTGCATCCCTTGATGAGATATGCCTCTGATCTCATCTGGGCTGCTCTTTTCCCAGATGTTGCTGCAGTCATCATAGTGGGGTTTTTTTTAATGTATAGGCCACAGGTTGCTTTAGAAGGAGGAAGATGCCAGAATCAGTGCCCAGTCTAAGAGCCACTCCCCTGGATGTGGGTATCTTTCAGCATAAGTTGATTTTTGCTGCATGTCAAATTCTCCTTGCTTAGTCTGTATCTGACCTAGGCTGTATCTGCACTGGCCTTGTTGACAAAACCAGTGGGAGAACCCATGTACTCTGAGCCGCTGGCTATGGGATAGCTCTGACCACACTGTATAACATTTAAATCTCATCTTCCCTAGGATCCATTTGATGTTTCTGTGCCCCTGGGGCATAATTAATTTTAATGTATTTTTTCTTGCTTGCTTGCCTTTTCTTGCTTACTTTCTTGCTTTTTCTTGCTTGCTTTTGTCCTTGCTAGGTTTCCTGCTTTCTTCCTCTCCTTTCTTTCTCTCCTTTCTTCCTCTCTTTTTTCCTCTCCTTTTTTCCTCTCCTTCCTTCCTTCCTTCCCTCCTCTTGTTCTCCCTCCTTCTCTCTGTCTTTGCTTTTTCCTTTGGTTCCTCCCTGCTTTTTTCACTTGAAATAATGAGAGGGTTGTGTTGTAGCCCTTTCATGGTATTTTCATGCCATGACCACAGAACATGTTTTACTTACCTTAAGGGCATTTCCAGATGCATTGCTGGCTGGGGTAGCGTTTATCCACCTGAGTTCACTACAGATCTGTATTGTCTTTCTGGGATGCTCAAGCAAACCAACCTCTTATCTGGGTTTAGGTTTCCTCAAGAGAGGAACTGGTTGTTTTGCTCCAGAGTAAGCCTGGAACCAAACTAGTTTGTGCACTGTGTGAATGAGTGGGGGACTGAGGACCTGGAGAGGGAGATGTACTTACCCTGCACTTTGGAAAGAATGGAGGATGCTCTAGGCTTAGTTTAGGTTTACGGTCCTATCTCACTTCTTGCATACCCTCATGAGAAAACATCTCACAGGTGTTTCATTTTTACATGAAATAGACTTATGGAGTTTTTTAACAGTGCGTTTCACATTCAGACTCATCTGGCTGAAATAACTGAAAGCATTTAAAGTGCATCAAGGCCAACCACTGTTAAAAACAAGGCTATTGCAACCAGGAGAGTGCAAGTAGTGGAGGTGATCATTGAACTGGATTAGTAGGGAAGGTCTCAAAACAGGGCAGTCAAGGATTCCAACAAACAGGCAGGAAAATCTGTGAGAAGAAGGAAGCATCAAGGAGTTAAGAGACGAAGCAAGTATGGATTAGGGACACAGGTACAGGTTTTACATTGCTTTCTGTTGGAGTGGCTGAGGGTACTTCTGCAGTGCACAGAGGCATCCGTTTTGGTGTTTGCAGGGTGCTTGTGGTTTGACCTGCATACCGACAGATGTATAAGAACAGCCCATATCAATCTGCCGATACATGCCACCTTCCTTTAAGGCAGGCAAGATCAGGTCTTTCAAGGAAGTGCTTTAGGCTGGTGTGTCTGCTTGATGTCTGTCAGGTGCTGAAACAATTTTTTTGTGGAAAACAATGATGGAAGGACTGGAGGTGATACACTGGACCCAGCCCCAGTGCAGGAACTGGGACACACTGTGGGCCAGTGAATTCTCCTCTGATGTGGCTCAGAATCTCAAGACAGAAATTGAGTTTACAAGGGATGGACTCTTGGCAATTTATGACCCGAAGGCAGGCCTCCGATAAATTTTAAGCACAGGTGTTGGGTGTAACAAAGGTCAGGGCAGACACAGGTGTAATAGTTTGAAATCAGTTTGCATTAATAAAACTCACTTTCTTCTCCTTCCTTTTATCCCTCCCAAATAAGCCCCTAGTTTCTTCTTTGCAAATGTTGACTCTGACCACGGAAAGTGAGTGCTAAATGTTTGCCACTGACTATTCCTAAAGATCACAGCTTATTTGTGACCCTGCCTACAGCTGCCTCTGTGGATTCATTCTGGGTTTCTGCCACGCCTTGACATATTTAAGGTTAGGGTATCTCCTGCTCTTCACTGGAGGTTCATTGTAGTTCTTGTCCTCTCCAATAACAGCACTGAACCTATAGCATAACCACAGGTTAGTGCAAATGCAAGAGACTGAGAGGAAGGGAGGGCAATCTGTGTCTTTTTTTGTGAGGTTGAATGGCCTTAGAGCAATGGACCTTAGCTAGAGGGTTCAGGAAGGTCCTAACTTTCACATCAAGCCTTTTAAAGGCAGTTATTCTTTCCAGAGGATCTCAGACCAGACTCAGTTAATGGGAAAGTAGGAAGGTTTCTAGATTCCTTTCCTAGTGAGCCAAGGACCTTCAGCCTCACAAGAGCCTATTCTAAATAGGTAGCAAGTGTACATAGATGCTAGCTCCAACTGCATAACAAGTCAGAGGGTCATTTCTTATTTTTCTACCCATGCAGTGCTCTTGCAAAATCTACCTTGCTGTCTCGTGAAAAGATGTTAGGTAGAAGTCTGGATCTGTTTTCCTGTCCTGCTCAAGGTGTGCTGTGAGTACAACAGGTCGGGGAAGCTAAGGATGCAGAGTGCTTCAGAGGTAAGTGTTTGTGCATGGAGAGGAGCAGCTTCAGTCCCTCTACAGCTTCAGTCCTGCTAGAGGAGGTGAGCGCCCTGTTTGGGCATCACACTTGGTTTGAATTTTGCCTTGACCTATTTATTCAATCACCAGTTCTTCTGGGTCTGACATGATGCTCTCCTGCATGGTTCTGTTTTCTCACATTGCCTACATCAGAGATCTACCACATAAATCACATAGCAACCAAATACAACTCAAAGGGAAGTATACAGTCTTCTGGGGCTGTGTGGAGGGGATGGAGGAAAAAGAGCACCTCTCTGCCTTGCAGGTGAACAGAGAAGCACAAGTGCCTTTAAAACTGTCCTGCTAGTGCCAGCTGTCCCACCAGCGGGAATATTGCTAAACCTGAGAGAGGACTTCATTTCTCTGCAGTTCACTCCATCCTTACTTACAAGGCTTCCCAAGAAAAACAGTTTGTAAGTGGAAAAAAACAGAGCAAGACTTAGAGCACAAGTCACTTAGCAGGCAGTGAAGGAGAAGAAAAAGACTCTCTTCTCCCCTCCATCAACCATCCTCCAATTTTGGAGTGTTCATCCTCCCGCCACCTGCTGCAGAATTAACACAGGAATAATATTTCCTTCAAAATGAAACCACTTCCCAAATCAGATGGGTTTTCTGAATCAAGAACTTCCTTTTTTCCCTCCCCTCTCCTCAGAGTATCTCAGACAAAAGCCCAAAGTACTGTCAGCCTCTCACTGCTCATTTCAGTCCCTTCAAACAGAGATGCGTGCTCAGAGATTCCCCAGAAAGCTGCTGGGATGGAAGCACTTTTGTGGATTTGCATTTCAGAAGTAGCCAGGGAGCCTCTGTTAGTTCATAGCAGTATGCACATGGAGTTGCCTTCACTGATGCAAACTCATGAGATGTGGTCAGAGGGATGAAGAGAGGAAGGGAGGAGTCACAGGGCAACCCGCCCCCAAACACTGTCTTGGTCGCTGGCTCCAAAGTTGTTTCAGTTCTGTAAAGCATCTGAACAAGCCAGAAGGCAAGGAGGAACAACACTTTTGTTGAAAATATATTGCGCTCTTCAGGATGGACTTTTGTCCTGCTGGTAAGCCTTGACCGTCTTTTGCCTTGTTTTCTATGAGGGCTGTGCTCTCAGTTTGACAGGGCAGAGCACACCATGAAATGCTGGCAGCCAGTGTGGATGCTGAGGATGGTAGCTGGAGGAATGAGATGGTGGAAGATCCCTGGTGTTGCAGTTGATTGCTTGTCAGCCTTCAGCATTAGGCATGGTTTTCTTTTTACTTGCTCTCCCGTAAGCAAGCTCCTTTCACATCGGGAGAAATTTTCCCACTGATTTGATTGTGCTGAGAGTGTCTACTGCTGTGATCCCTTGTGCTGGTGATCCTGAGCTGAGCTGAGCTGGGAACTGACTCGGGGGTATCAAGGGTATATGTGACACTTGGGATGAGCACCTATAAGGTTTGGCTTCTCTTCATGCAACTCTATCATGGCTTGCAAGCTCCTCAACCTGCAGCTCCAAGGAGCTGGTTTGCCTTTGTGGAGCCTCTTACGCAGCTGGGTATCCCAGTGCAACACGCTTGCAAGTCTCTTGGTACTGGGCCCTCTCTTGCTTATGTCCATGTTAAAGGTAAATGACTGCATTAGGGTTCTACAAACTCCAAGTGCCCTGCAGGTGGGCCTGCCTGGTCCTGAAATAATCTCAAAAGGCAGATGTGGGTGGGGGGAGATGAGCCACGTCTGAGGAACTGAGAGAGATCTCGGGTTTTATTTTCTACTTTGGCAGGTGGTGGATAAAGTGGTTGGGATTCAGCAGGGAAAGGCATACTGCCAGGATGAACATCTCTAGCCTCTGGCTGAGGGAGCTCTGAGTGTGTGTCTGCGAAGAGGCAGCAGATAGGGAGAGTGGGATGGGAATGGGTTGAACAAAGGCCAGAAAGAAAAGAGATCATCTCACAATGGCCCTGCTGTGTCTGTCTCTGTCCTCACAGGCTTTTGCGTATAGGATGTAGAGCACAGAGTGCAGGGGAAAAAGCAGTACCCAATTTCCACAACTGTTCTGCACTTTTTAGCTCCTAGGTGGGTAGCCAAGGAAAGGGCACGCTAAAACTGCACACCAGCCTTGCTTGTCAGGGATATTGGTGGGACCTATGGGATCTGAGCTCTTGCCAGCATCTGGCTATGTATGTTTTTGAAGGTAGGTCTTTTCAGATCACCCAGCCCTCACCACCTGAAAGCAACTGTGGACAAAGCTTCTGCACGACAAGCTGGGCAGGAGGAGGGGGGGTACCTCATGTTTTGCTACTTATTTTGGGGTGTGCTTTCCACTGTGGCTCTCAGAACTGATGGTCTGACACAGTCATTCCCTCAAGTTATGTGTTACTGTGTTAATTATGTCTTAAAAGTTACACACTGCAATAGCGCGATGAGATCCTGCTCAGGCACAATGCAGGTTTGCTGAGCTCTGGCTAGAGGCAGAGCCTGGAGACAGGCAATGCCTGAAGAGATGTGCTGGTTCTGACTGATGTCTTTGCTCAGTCCCAGCCTGGCACCACTGTGGAGCGGCTGCAGGAGGGAGACAGATTGGGCTGGAGGGAATTAAGGAGCTGCAGGTCTTCCTGGTACCAGCCTGGTACCTGGCTGGGGAGGTGGTGGTCTGTGCTGGAGATGACACAGCAGCCATATCAAAAAAGAAAAGGAATTTCAGGTGACATTCTTCCACCAGACAGCCTCATCCAGGCAGAAGGTGCCCATCAGGCTGCTCTGCTTGTCTGTTGCCATGGGTGGAGGTGCCCAAACCCTTTAGCAGCCACACTCAGAGCCCTACATTGCCTTGCAAAGGGGCCAGCCAAACCTCTGCTGTTACACTATGGGTGGGCAGCACGTGGATGGTCTGTAACCATGGTACAGATGCAGTCATTCTTCATAACCTTCCCCTACTGTTTCTGCAGTCCATCCTTCCAGCTCTCCTGGGCAGTCACTTCCCACTTACCTCTGTGCTCCAGAAGCTGTCTTCCTATTCATATACTTTTGCTTGGGACTGAAAGCCTCACTTCACACCTGGGTGGCTCTGCACAGCCCTTTGCAAGGGGAAATGAGACCAGCAAACACAGTATTCTTTGCTGGCCACATGAGTACCCAGACTTTTGGGTAACTCTGATCTGCCCTCCAGATGGGGAGGCTGAGGGTGTAAGTCACCACAACCGGAATTAGAGTCTGTGTTCTGTTTTGAGTGACAGCACTAGAAGTACAAACCTGGGCAATTAATGAAGAACTGGCAGGTCTTTCTATCTGGGTCTGCCCTGAGAGTGAGGAAACAACCTCAAGAGCAGGTCTAAACTTCACAGATGTGATGCTGATGTGCTTTCCTTTCAACATTCACTCTCTGAAAATAAATTCCAAGCAGCAACTTCATGTCCTCTCTGGAGCGGATGCTAGCCATTTTTTTATGTCTTATGCCAGAACTGGAAGACTTCAGATTGGTTTGGCTGACAGCATCCTCCTGAAACCTGTGGGTGTTGTCGTGGGGTGCTCTTCATCGCGGTGAAATTTCCCCCTGTGCAGAGAACCCTGACCAGGGCTATGCTTCATCTGTGTCCTGACCTAGCCCTAGAGGGAAGCGGAACTTGGTGGTACTGAGGATTTTGACGAGGCTGAAGCTGTTCCTCAGTCCCTCGGTTCAGGGATGAATTCCCTCTGCCACTGCAAGCATCTGGAGCGAGCCAGGCAACGCTTCACTTGGATTGTCCTTCTCCTGCCAGCTCGGCTTGTTCTCAACATGGAGAGGGAAGGAAAGGCAAAGAAGCCTGCTGTCATTATTTCATCTGCTGCTTGCCCAGCTGCCTCTGCTGCCTTCACTGCCTTTCTGTGGACAGTTCCCCAAACAAGCTTTTTGTGTTCACTTCCCCTAATTGTAGACCCCAACGCGTGCATTAACGTTGATGAACGGCCTCAAACCAGCCTTGAGCAGAGCATTAGGACTTCTGTTAGGGAAGCGGAGTAATGTGCAGGCACCGACCTCAGAATTATTTTCCAAGGTAATCAGGGACTTAAGCTGTTTAGGAAACTTAGGAAACCTTACAAGGACCCTCTCTGCAGTTCAATCTAAATTGCTCTGAAAGTTGATCCATCCATTTCTTTCCTTACTATGTCACTCTTATTTTTATCCCTCGATTCCCTCCCCTTCTCCATGACTCATTTGCTTTTTCTCCCTTGCCCTCCCCCCACACACAGTCCTTCCCACACTTTTCTCAGTCTGACAAACTGGACAGGCTAATCACTTGGGAGTTGGGGTTTTCAGATGCTCAGGAGAAAGAGGGACTGAGTTATTTACAGCCTTGGTAGAGGTCATGTGGGTGAGGTGGTGTCCTCTGGGAGCCTCACATCTCTTTGAGATGCTTTAGGCTGCTTCAGTAGACACAGAACAACTGAAGCAAAGCAACCAGCCACACCACAGACTTTGCTGATGGGGTAGGGGAAAGGGAAGTTCCTCAGGTATGTCCTGCTACGGTGCTTTTGTGGAAAGAAATACAGGATAAAGGGTCTTAGTGGTAATTTGTCAAGGAATCACCCCAGTGATTCTACAATTACATGCCCCCATAGGGGTGAGAGAGATAAAGCTGGGGAGACTGAGATTCTGACCTCATCTCCTGCAGACACCAGAACAGCGGGAGACATAAAATAAGTTGAAAGACCCAGGCACTGCTCAGGGGCACAGGGCTGACATTCGAGGGGAAGTCAGCAACCTGCCTAACAAGCAGCAAAGCCACTGCATGGGGGTTTTTGTTGTTGTTTCTTTTTCTTTGGTTTTTTGTTTGTTTGTTTGTTTGCTTGCTTGCTTGCTTGCTTGCTGGTTTGTTTGTTTTCCCCTCACATACAGATTTGGCTGCTGTGAGCTGCTGGATGCCACAGGTTTTCCTCCCGTCTTGACCAGTTCCAGCAATCCCTCAGCTTCTTTCAGCTCTTCATGAGGGCTGCTTGCAGAGCTGGGAGGGGACGTGGGTCCTTCCCAGCCCTGGCTTCATGCTGGTTCCTTGCCTAGTGCTTTCATCCCAGAGGCTCAGCAGCCTCTCCCCCGGGAATGCAGTCCTTGAAAACAGCAGGAGGAATGACGGGAGAGAGGCTGCAGCCTGAGAAAAGTAATAGGACAGACTTAGTACATGGAAACCCAAGCAGCGGGAGGATGGGGTGAAGATTAGGATCAAGGAAGGCAGGTGTCTCTAAGCTGTTGTGACCATGACAGGAAAGAAGCATGTGGACTCTGAGATGACCGCCCTTGTCCTCTTTTCCTTCTGTCTGTCTTGACTGGTTCCTTCCCCTTTTTTCCCCAGTCATATTTATAGCAGTTGTTTTGCATGTGAGATCCACACTAAGAGAATTTCCAAGGCAGCTGCTGCCACTTCCCCTTTTTCCAGGAAGATGGGAGGCCCAGGGGATTTTGGCTTATGAAACCGTGGAGCAGGGTATCCAGTGATCTGACCTGACTTCCTTTTGCAAGCTTGGCCTTCCAGTGTTTAGGTGCAGCACGGACCCTGTCTACAGGTTCTGCAGTGACCTCCCAGGAGCTCCGTGCTCTCAGCCTTGGGTCAGACCCTGTTTTTTTCCTGGGGCTCACCATCTGCTTTGCCTCTCTAGGGCTGCACCCTTCTCCTTCTCCTTGCTGAAGAGGCTGTGCTTCACCTGGATTATATTTAGCAGCAGTGCTGTCACCCCAATTCTTCTAGATCTTTTATGAATCATTTTGTGGTCGCCTTGGCTCTGATGGTATCTGTTTAACTTCCTGCACATTACAAGGAAGCCTGATCGTATTTCTGCATTGCCTGTCGTCCACAGAACAAAAAAAAACTCCCCCGCCCCGACAATTCTTCTTCAGCAAGGCTTTCATCCCCCCAGATCCGGCCCTCAGACTTGAAAAACCTTGATTCTGTCTCTTAGGCCATTTCTGACTCTAGCTGTGGTGGATTAACCCATGAAGCCAATGGCTCTTCATGGGAGGTTTGGATGTAGATGAAGTATTTAGGTCACAGCTTTTCAGTACGTAAAGATGACTAACATAAAAACCACTGAAGAGCATTTGGTAAGACCTCTTCATTGTGCTCGCAGCGAGCAAAACCAGTTGAGTAGGTGGAGTGGGTCACTGCAGGGTTAGATCAGAGAGCTACCAGCACATCAGCTGTCTGCGAGGAGGGGTAGATGGGTCTGTGCTGCTTGCTCTGGACCAAGAACCATTTACAGGGCACAGCTGAGGTGCAGTGGCTCCAACAGGAGGGAACATAGATGCTGAAACACAGAAATCAGAGTTGCTGTGGCATGACTCTAGGAGAAGACAGGTACCGAGAGGTTAAGGCAGCTTTTCCTGTGACCTGTTGGCCCCAGTACTATTTTCACAGGCATCTTTGTTCTTCCAGAGTCAACTGACTTGAGTGAGGCTGAAGAGGCTGAAATAGAGACAATCAGGCAGCACAGACAGGAGCTTTTGGAGGACATTAAGGTAAGGATCATCCTGTTCCTCCTGTCTGCCTAGCCTTCTCAAAACTGTCTTCACCAAGGAGGGTCTTCACATAACAGTCCAGGCCATGCAGAAGAGCTCCTGCATGGGAGACATTTGCTCTGGAATGATCCGACTTGAATTCTGAACTTCAGGCTGGCCTGGCATGTTTGCCACCAGTGTACATCCAACCTGTGGTACTCCCTGCTGCAGGAATCATCAGCTGCCCTGATGGGATATTTGAGAAAGGCTGGTCAGCTCATTAGCAATGATGAGCTGGGATTGCATATTTAGGATTAAGGAAATGAGTATGACTTTACTGAGTCATACTGGCAGGGATCTGGCTCAGCATTTACGATTATTTTTAATTACTGATTACCTGCTAATGACATATCAGTCCTAGTTACCTGCTGCCTCCCCATGTGCTTATCAAACTTCTGTTTGGTTTGTGAACCACTAACAAGTCCTCCACGAAGGATCCTGTCTCTTTAGAGAGGTGTGATGGCAGGACCTTCCACACAAGTTTCTGTGGTTGAATTTGTTTTTATTCTTTTCTTTTATCAGACTCAAACATTTCTCCACTGACTCCTAAAAATGTCTGAAAGTGACAGATTCAAAATTGGTCAGTAATATCACATTGCAGTCACGCATGGTGCCATACATTTTCTATTCTGTTCTGCCTCCACCACTATGGAATATGGTCTCCCATTTGAGAGATTGCACTGAATCATTGAACTTGCACTGATTTTCTCACAACATGAAGACGTCCAGATGCCTGGGGAATAGGTACAATATTTCCTTGTGTAAAGGATTAAGCCAAACTATCTATTACTTCTCAGGCTTCCAGATTTACCATCTCTGCTGCAAATCACGATGGTGTCTTGCCCCTTCTTGCAAAACAGTCTATGAATGTATGTGCATGTGGTTTGCTTGTGTGCATTTCTTATCTCTTAAATTTTCAGAACAGGCAATGGGCACTGTAGGAGGCAGGATACTTGAATAGGAATACTACATTTTTTACCTGCTATGGACAGAGAAAAACTGCTAGACTACACAGACTCATCCTCTAAATCCCAAAGCCATTAACCAATGGGGTACGCATTGTCCAATGGAGCGGGATGAATTTAGGTGGAAGAGCACCTAGAACTATAGACACTTTTCCAGGTGGATTTCTTCAGAAAGTGTCTAGCGATACCCTTTAACACAAAGACTTGGCGGGATGTCTGGTGGGGGCAGAGGGAGGAGGGGAGAGGATGGGTCTAGACTTGCCAGTTACACTGCCAAAAGACAGCAGTGAATAAAATAACAAAACTGATAATCATTTGAAATTCAGGAGCTAAGATCACGGCTTTGGTACATTTGTGCAATACCTAAAGCTCAGCAAGGAACACTCCCAGCTCTGGAGACCGATGAAGCACAACGGAATGAAGGCCAGAGCAAAACTGAAATCCAGAAGCTCTTTTAAATGATGACGTATTGGAGAACTTAGTTTCTCTATCTGGGTACCTACTGTGGCCACATCCTCACTCCTTGTTAGAGGCAAGATCTGTCGTAAAACAGATCCTTCTTCCCCTGCCTATTCCGGTTTGCATGGGGAAGAATTTGGGTGATTCCTGGAAGAGAGCTGTGATGCACTCTGGCTCTGAGGACGGCCATAACTGCAGGATGGAAGCAAGGAGATATAGACATCTTCATTTCCTTGGTAATGCAGAATATCCAGCCAAGAAAACTGAATTCTACAATTGATTTTTAAAAATTTGGCAGTGATTACTCTTTTACTCCTCCTTTTTTTCTTTCTCCACCTAAAGACAAGTATCTATTCAACGGTATTTGAATGATAGGTACGTTAAAAACTCCATGTTTCACGATGTGGCCACTTCAAGTTCATATTGACCTCACAGTTACTGGTTCCACTTCCCCTTTCCTGGATGTGTAGCAGGGCTATGCAAAGTAAAAGCTAGAAGGAAATGGGCACAATGGAAGGGGTCTCACATCTGACATTGTTTGAGGAACTGAAATCAACCCTGGGGTGAGTTCTCTGACAATTTCCACACTGGCTAAGTTTGATTTTCCAGCCTTGATTGACAACAGACATGAGAACATCCTTCTGCCCCTCTCTCCCACTGTTTTCATCTGGAATCCAGCAGGGTCACCCCAGAGCAGTGCCCATTTGATAGACATCTTTGGCTGGTTGTGACCATCTGACCTGTCCTTTTCCCATGATTGAGGGAAGAAGGAAGACATGCTCTGTATGTGTCTGCTGTTTTTCCCTCCATCGCCTTCATCCTCCTGATATACTTTTGCAGAAGCTGAAGGAAGAGATTGCTGAAGTGTTTGCAGAGATTGAGTGCTTCCAAAATGCAGAGGAGAGGCAAGAGGCAGACAATAATCCTGGGGAGCAGACCAGGCAAGTGGGACGAGTATTCCTTTGTTTACAGTATCTTGGTGTTGAGAAAACAAAAACACCAATGGGATTTGAATCACAACAAGAACGGGGAAATGAGGCCAGGAATACCCTTCTCTCCTCTGAGATTTCTCTTTATTCCTGGATAGTCAGACATCTGTTCTTGAGATATCTAAGTTACGTTGTGAGTGAATTGAAACATGGCCCTTTATTCTAAGTTTGACTTTCCTTCTTCTTTGTGTTTGCAGCAAACTATCACAGAGGAATAAACTTCTGTCCCTGGGCCGGAAGAAATTCAACATGGACCCTGCAAAGGTAGGATTTGCTCATTCCACCCATGAGGAGAAAGCTGGGAGGAAGAGCTTCTGTTGGCTACTGGTCCACTTGCAGCCACCAGTGTCAAAGTAACTATGGCATGGGACTGTGGGGCTGGTTTCCCTTGTAAGGCCCTAGTTAGCAGTGGCTTCCATCCTGTCCCTGAATAAGGTCTTCTGATACGATCAAGTTGTGTTGCCTCCCCCGTCATGTGCCTATGGCCATCACATCAGATGCAACGCAAAACTAAGCGAAAAAAAGGGAGGATGGTTTCACACTGCCAGTATGTCAAGAGAACCAAATCTCCTTCAGCCCAGCTCTTCTTGCCTGTGAGAGGCTAAGAATTTGCCATAGTGTGATGAAGGAGGATGAAGTAAAAAGAAAGTGAGAAGTTTTGAGAGTGTGTTGGGTTCTTTGGCTCATTCAGAACAGAAGAGGACAAGCTGCCTCTGTCACTTTTGGAAGTAGTTTTGATTTTGGTAGTAATGGTTGGACTGTGGAGTGAATCCAGGTTTTCCACTTTCTGGGACTCTGACCAGTGGGGTGCAGACTCCATAGCCTTCAGCTCTCTGCAGAAAGCTCTAAAATAATCATAATTAAGTAGAGAAGATGTGAGAAAGACAGTTTCCTCTTCCTTCCTCCTCACTGGTGGACAATTTTTTTGAGCTCTGTAAGGAAAACCACAAGCTGCGATTGAACGATTGCTCATCATCAGCTAACCACCACAGCTAGCATCTTGCGTGGCTGCTGGCCTGACTGACAACTTTTTGTGCCTCCTCTTCTGCCCTACTGAGACCCTCAAGAAGATACCTTCCCCAGTGTCCACACCACAGCTGGAGTGCTTGCCAGTCCCGTGGACACCCCTCTGCCGGTGGGAGCTATCTCAGAGCAGTGATACCAGTACCTATAGCCTGCATGAGAGCAGGTTTCATTTTGTTTTTCTGTCCCACCTTGGTTTAAGGCCCCAGAGGCATCTCACTTTCTGGCACCGTGCCATGCTGTGCAGAAATACCTGAACTAGTTCTGACTCCAAACCAATTTAGCTTTATTAGTTCAATGCTGATCAACCTGGTCAAAATGTTATACTATGTGGCTGTATTATGCAGATCTCTGTTTTTTGCTACATGCCGTAGGCTGAGAGGTGCTGCAATGCAAGGAACTTTCTTTGCCTCTCCTTGCTAAAGTTACAATTCATCCATGCAATGATGATGCTTTAAATGAGTTTCTCTCTCCAAGACCTCAGGGCAAGTTCCTGAGGCTAGAGGAGGTAAGCGTTAGGAATCTGGCTGAACAAAACCTTTTGGGAGAAATATTTTCTTCTGGAAAATGGAGCCACATCATCACCACAATCCTTTGCAAAATTAAATTGATCTTACTGAAATTCCATCTGGGGAAAAAGAAAGAAAAATAGCATGGAAAAATCTCAGAAACATTTCAATTTCTTCTTTTGAAACTGCCTTTTCTTTGGGGCATTGTAGAAATAGTTTCTTATATATTACAAGGCAAAGTGAATTGATTCTGTTGAAGTAGAACATTTTGATGGATCTAAAACAATTTTCATTCCTTTATTGTATTTTGTGAGGAGAATTGCAATGTGGTCTGGAGAGTTGCAGTGGTTTTAGATATTGTTAAGAATCTGAACAAAACCTCAGCTTTCTGTGACTTTGAAAATCATTAAATTCCCTCTAAAATGGGATATTGGCTCTTTGCACAGCCCAACTCAGACCATCTATATTCCTTTAAAAACATATTCCATCCTTACTGGCTGGAGAGGATGGAGAGACTTTTCTGTTCTATGGCATAGAAGAAAATTTAGGAACAAATAATTTTAAGTTGTCTCAAGCCCATATTTTTGTCTAAGTACAATTTTTTATTATGTCTTCTTTTAAGCAAACTTTTTTTTTCTTTAATTTAGTTAGGAAAAATGACATTTAGTAACAGAACACTAAGGTATTTTGATTGAAAATGTTAACATTAACTATTTTGGCTTTGCCTTTTTGGACTTTAAATGTTTTGTTAAAAGGTTGCCCTTTTTAGTTTGCTTGAGTTTCCATCCCAGCAAAACATTTATCCAAATCTAGGAGTGAAATGGAAGTGGGACTGACCCACCATGGTGGATGAAGAGGGATGGACTAAGGGTGGGAACACGGCTGTGGTCTCCCATAAAGGGGCTGGGAGGCAACATCATCGAAGACAAGGAAGGCTGACATCAGGGTGTTGGGGTCCTACTTTCTCATCAGCCCACAGAGCTGTCTTACCTCACTGTCTTGCTTCTCCTCCCGCAGGGGATCCAGTACCTGATTGAGCACCAGGTCTTGTCCTCAGACCTGCAGGAGATCGCCAAATTCCTCCACAAGGGTGAAGGCCTGAACAAGACAGCCATTGGGGATTACCTGGGTGGGAGGTGAGTGATCCCACCAGGATGAGGAGACCCTTGGGAAGCCCTGTCCTGCCTGGCCCCTCCCAACTACCATTTTAGATGGCCCCTGGCAGATGTCAGTCAGGTGCCAAGACTGGACATACCTCTAAGTGCAGTGATGGGTGGGCAGTACACCCCGGGGAGGGGGATTTGGAGCGTGGCTAAGGCTAGCCATATGGGCTACCTTTCCTCCTGCCCATAATGGGGCCAGTCTTCCCAGACAAAAATGTGCATCTTGGCTTCTTGTTGGTCAGAGGGGAAATGGAGGCTGGGATGGAGCCAGGTGCATGTTGTCATACCAAGGGATGTCCAAACCAAGCAGGGCCAAAGCTCTCTTCTGATATTTTCCCTCTATCCTCTCCCAGGGACCCCACAAACATCCAGATCCTCCAGGCCTTTGTGGCATGTCACCAGTTTGCCAACCTCAACCTGGTGCAGGCACTGAGGTGAGTGAGCGTGCAGGACACAGGGGATGGAGCAGGAGCCTGCTCAGCCACTGGGTCTTATCACCCAGGAAGGCTGTGAAGCCCTGCTGGGATGAAATGAGGCTTCCCAAGGTCCTGCTGCCTGTGTTGGCTCCAAGACTGTTGCTCTGTGAGGTATTAACACCTTTTCCTGGGAGAACTCTTTCATGGCCCCTGGACTGGACTGGCCATGTGCAGAGAAGATGGGAAAAGCAAAGTGAGCCACTGTGGTTTTGATGGCTAGGTGGATGGGGCAAGTTATTTTTGCACCAGGAAACATGTCTGTCCACAGTACCTGTGACAAAGTGACTCTGTCTTAGGACATCTTGTTTTCTTATAGGTCAGCCTCCTGGCAGGACTCCTTCTCTTGAGGTCTCTGCTGCCTTGCAGGACACTCATTAGGGAAGAGGAGCCATGGCTTCCAGGATGCTTTAGTTCTGCTTCCTGCTTTTAGGGTGTTTGAGGCCAATGAGCCCAGGCAATTTCTAGAGATTCCAGATCTCCTGCTTCATGCACTGTTGTGTCTCCCGAGTGAGATGGGATGGCTGCTTTTATTTTCATGGTGTCCCATGGGTTGAGGGAAGGGATCAATGTCCCTTGCACCCCATCTGACTAACTCTTTGGCATACTGCTCCTGACAGACAGTTCCTATGGAGCTTCCGGCTGCCTGGGGAAGCGCAGAAGATTGACCGGATGATGGAGGCCTTTGCCAACTGGTACTGCAAGTGTAACCCAGGAGTATTCCAGTCCACAGGTAGTTATGGGCAGAAGAAGGCCTGTAAAGCTGAGCTCCACTGTTTGCTAGAGGAGCCTTCTTTTTCCATTCACAAAGCACAGAGAGCGTCACTTGGAAGTGTGAATGTTTCCCCTTAACCTGAAGGAGTCAGCCCAGTTCCTGTGAAGCTTTTCGACAGGGTGAGGGTCTTCAGTCCTCCTTTTGCTACTGTGCTCCAGTCCATCCCCATGGGTAATAGACTTGAGAAGTGCTCCCAGCCCCACACAAGGCATACCTCATCGCAGCAAGGATAGTGCTGACAAACATGGGTCTGTAGAAACTCTCCTGCTGGCAGAGCTGTTATCAGACCAGATCTACCCAACTTGCCCCATTACCCTGAGGGGATGGAATCACCTCCATCATAGGAGACGAATTCTGTCCCTCTTTCTCCTAGCAGAGGGGACATCTCCCTTTTACTCCTACAGCTGAGAGGATGATGTTGTTCTCCTGACTGGAAACCAAGCCACCTGTTAGGGTGTGGATTGATCTGCCCTCTAAGACAAGTGCCACCCATCCTGGTTTTCTTTCTCATTGCCAGATACCTGTTATATACTCTCCTTCTCTATCATCATGCTTAACACCAGCCTGCACAACCCCAATGTGAAAGACAAACCCCCCTTTGAAAGGTTTGTATCCATCAACAGAGGCATTGACAATGGAGGAGACCTGCCAGAAGAGCTCTTAAAGGTAAGAAGACCTCCCATTTTCTCATCGGTCCCTCTTTTCTCTCTTTGGACCCCAAATAAGACTGTCCACAGGTCTCAGTGTAATACAAGTCTACTGACCTACTGTACAAGGGGAAGGGCTGCATGAGGAAAGAGGGCAATATGTACAAAAGTAAAGCTGGAAAATGTGGAAACTGCTTTGGAGAGGGGCTGCACACATGTTTGTGGCTGAAGATATGGAGCAAGAGAGACGAGGCTGGAGACATTCAGGGAATAGCATTATCAGTTTAAGAGAGTTTGTGCTTTAAAAAGTGTGTCCATGTGAAAGAGGAACAGATATTGTAACTGTGTGAGAGAGGAAGACATGAGCTGCAGGTGTCTGTGCTGTGTACGTATGAGGCTGTGTGAATGGGGCACCCACCTCTGTGGGAGGTAGGTGGGCACCTGGCTCTTTTGGCCAGCTTTGAAAGTCCTAGCCCCAAGGGGACTGTCTGGTTTTTGTGTGTCTCTGTGTGTGTGAGACAATGTCACTGTGGCCCAGATTCTGGATCCCTTTCCCTTGTTCGTACCTAAATGTCTCAGCTGACTCCAGTGTTCACATCAGTCAGGACATCGGTGCCTGACCTCTCTTATACCAGGATATGTCTTTGATTGAGTGTAACTGACAAGCCCCAAATGAGTATCAGGGTTTCTTCCAGCATCTCTTCCAGCATCTGTAAAGCTCTCAGTAGGTCCGTGGTGTCTCTGATTCCAGAAGACAAAGATGCAGAGTTGGGGAGACAGAGTCATGGGATGCATCCATTAGCAAAGCTGGTGCTACCATTTTCCCAAGGGCTCAGCAGGCATGGGACCTGCCCTACGAGGCAAAGTAGAGGCGGGCAGCCTGCCTGCATCTGTCTAGCTTTACCCAAACAACCTGGGGAGAACAACTTGTGTCTTGTTTCAAAGAGTCTGCCTCCATCCCACACCTGGGTTTACTGAGCAGCATCCCCTCAGGGTAAAGGCTTTAGTTTTTTCTCCAGCATGTCATATCTTTCAGGCAATTTGAGGGAAGTTGCAGGAGCCTGTAGTTTCTTTTTTTTTTTCTTGGCTTGGGGTTTGTGTAATAAATGATGGCAAATCCAATGACATGAGCAATGTTTTTGTATCCCTTGAAAGCTAGCAGCCTGCCTCCCTGTCACTCTGTGTTATGAATGTCACCCTTTGTGTCCCTTAGTGCACAAGCCTTGATTTTATGAAATATGCCTCCTTGTGGTCATGTAGATGTGTGTGTTGGTCTCTATGTACAAGTTCTCAGCAGAATGTTTGGCATCACCAGCCCAGAGCCTAAATGGGGCTGCAGTCTCTGCCGTGTTGTGTCCCCACAGTCCCTTAGTACTACCCACAGTGGCACTGGTATGACATGCTGGGTTTGGTCACTGCTGCCTCTCTTGATATGGGTGCACACTTTTGTGTCTGTGACTTTCCAAACTAAGTCTCTTTTTTTTGACACAGAAAAGAGCTGCTGATCCCCCTTGAGACCCCGTGAGCTGTAGACTGAGGGCTGTTCAACCCCCAGTGCTCCCTGCCCGCTCCCCTCCCCATTCACCCGCCTGCCCCTGTGGAAACAGAGTGATGAACCAGATGGACCTAGGAGAGTTGTGTAGAAGCTTTGTCAGAAATCTGTCTTTCTTTCTCTTCCCCCCACCAATTGTCTGGGGCAGAATCTGTTTGAGAGCATAAAGAACGAGCCATTCTCCATACCAGAGGATGACGGGAACGACCTCACACATACTTTCTTCAACCCTAATCATGAGGGATGGCTCCTGAAACTAGGTAAGGGGGAGGATTCCCCTAGCTCCTCTGAATTCCTCGCCTGCCTGCCTCCCACCACAAATGTCCCCCAGGAACCCACCAGCATCTCTGCTGTCCTTCCCTCCCATCTGCTGCGGTGGGGTGAGGCTGACACCTGCTGTTGAAACCAGCCGCCTGCTCTCTCCTCCCAGCTCCTGCAGGCTCCTTCTGCTCAAAAAAAAGGGACTCATAAAGATATCCCTCACCCTTCCCCATTCCCAGCCCCATCAGAGTAAAATCGGCTCCTTGTGTGTGCGTGTCCACCATACGGCATCACATCAGTGATGAGCACCACGGTTGCCTCCTTGGGGCTGATCTACAGGGAGAGCTGTGAGGGTATGCCTGTGGGGGGCGGGGGGGAGGACAGCAAAATGTGTGACTAATGGGGTTTGAACCTCACTGCCTTTAGGAGGACGTGTGAAAACCTGGAAACGCCGTTGGTTCATTCTGACCGATAACTGCCTGTACTACTTTGAATATACCACGGTAAAGGCTTAACTCCCGGTTGGGAAACTGTGTCCTGGATGGTTATGAGCCTCTGAGGGGCCAGGGAGGGGCAGAGGGTAGGGGTAATTCTTCCCTTTTACCCTATTCTCCCAGACTGAACTCAGACCTCCCTTTCCTACGCTGTTTCCTCGCCTCTGGTCTTGAGGAGGAGAGAGACTGGTCACTGCAGCTATTGCTGTGATCTCCTCTTAACTAAGCTCCCCATTGTGTAATGGAGGAGGTCTCCCCAGGCATACATTACCCTTGTCACCTCCATAAAGACACACATCTGGGAAATCAGAGAGGCTCTAAATAGTGACATAGATGTGGGGAGCATGTTGGGTGTTAATTCATGTTTCCTTACCTTCAGGACAAAGAGCCTCTGGGCATTATCCCCCTGGAGAACCTATCAGTCCGGAAGGTGGATGATCCCAAAAAGCCAGTAAGTCTCCATCGCGTGGTACTCTGCCAACGCAGGCTCTCAGGTGGTCAGAGGAAAGACTCTTACCATGCTTTTCATAGGAAAGGTACCATTCCAAACTGCCTTGTGCCCCCTTCTAAACATGATGGTATCTAAACATGATTGTATTTTAGCAGGGAAGATCTGGTGTGAATGGAGAGCTGTCCTTTGGCTGGCTGTATTGTATGTTTTCACATGTGTGTGTTTGTGTAGGGGGGCAGAAATGAGTGCACACAGCTGACTCCCTATTCATTTTGTACCAGGAGATGTGGGCTCAATTTCCCTCCCCAGGACTCTCCATGATGAGTTACAGCACATGTAGACCAGACAGGGCTGTGGTGTTAGGAAACTTGCCCAGGAAGTGACATTCTTTGTGCATCTTTTGTGGATACCCACTCTTTGATGTGTCACGATTCTGGGAAAAGTGCCTTCTACCTGTGTGGTGGCAGGCGGAAGAGAGGATGTTGCATTGACTTAAACGAGAGAGACATCTTCATGAGCAGAGCAGAGTGACAGGTTCCAGAAGGTGTTTTCTGATAACTGTTGATGCTCTGTCTCTCCATAAAGCCTGTTCTAGTGTCCAGTCTTTAACAGGAGGGGTATATTTACCTAAAAGGGGTGGCCAGGAGATCTAACTCGTAAGGGGATTCTTGAGGTGGGGAAGGAAAGGCTCTGTTGCCTTTCAGAGACAGAATGCTCTCCTCCCTTTGGAAGCTCTCTGAGCCTGTCACCCATGGTTGAAGGCAGCATAATCTCCTTGGTCCACCCTGTCCTCTCCTACTGCTCCATTTTATTCTCTTTCTGACAGAACTGCTTTGAGCTCTTCAATCCCAACTGCAAAGGGCAGAAGATCAAAGCCTGCAAAACAGATGGGGATGGGAAGGTGGTTGAAGGCAAGCATCAGTCCTACAAGATCTCAGCAGCCACACCAGCAGAACGTGATGAGTGGATTGAGGCGATACGGTGAGGAGACCAGAACTGGAGGCCTGAGTTTGCCTTTGTTGAGCCTCAGGGGCAAATGGTCACACAGTTTATTTGGCTACCAGAACTTGAAAAAGGGGGTGGAAAGAAGTGTTTGCAGTCTAGCAGCTGTGGTACCTCTTGACTTCAAAGAGTTTCAAGGTCCCTTCTGGAGAATCTCTAGCCACAGCTAAATTCTCTGCTGTGGGTCTGCAGGTCTCCACTCCTACATTTTGGTGAGTGGTGTCTGTGCAAGTTCAGTTGGGTTGCCTGTGCTGCTCTCCAGCATTAAATGTCTTACTTTTGCCCCCATTTCCTCTTATTTCCAGGACCAGCATCACCCAGGATCCTTTCTATGATCTGGTCTCTGCCCGCAAGAAAAAGATTGCCAGCAAGAACTGAGCCCTGACCTGGTCGCTGGCAGCAGGAAGATGTAGTTGTTGGACAGCTTCCCTCCCATGCTGGGCTCTTCCAGTGAAGAAATTTGGGAGCATTGGTTCCCTCTGCCTCCCACTTGGCAGGAAGATGACTGGCAGGACAACTTGCCAGATTTGCTTCTTCCCTTTCCAAACTGAAGGCAGAGGCGCAGGGTGCAATCCACTAAGGACTGTCATAACCGTGGGCATGGCGTTTCCCATGTCGGAATGTAAAGGCTTAACAGCAACTGGCCTTTGGGTTCTCCTGTATAGCCCCAAGCAGGTAGGACAGGATCTGAGAGGAGATGAGAACGTCTCCAGAATGTCTCCAGCCTCTCCCTCTGTCAAACCTGGGTATTTTTCTGTGAGGAACCGTGTAGATGCTCTCAGAGCAGTCAAGCATGGTCCAGCCAGTTGCAGAACAGAAAAGCCCAGGTGGTTTCTCTTCCTCGAACAGATGTGGAGTGGTTGTGGAGAAGGGGCCACTGATATTTAAGACCTCACTGTGAAACCAGAGGCCAAGGGAAGATAAAAAGCCCGCTGTTCAGAAAAGAGCTCTCTACCTTTTCCTATAGCCGTGAGGGCTGTAATCCTGGGAAGTCACTGCTCTGTAACTGAGTCATAGGTTTTAGAAATTTAAAGATGTTGGACAGGGAGATAAGGGGTAACTGAGTGTAGAGAGGCTGTGGGACCAGGGAAGTGGCTCTGGGACTTTTGTCTCTCTGTTTTAATACTCAGGGACCACCACAGGTCTCCCTAGGAAAGAAACCCAAACACTAGCTGTCCTCCTGGCCACTGGCTCCCCAGCAAAGGTTGCTTCCTTTTACCACCTCAGAGGCCTGGGCTTTGTATCTGAAAGGCCTGTGACCAGAAGGCGTGAAAAATTGGAGGTGCATACATACCACATACACACACACACACAGAGGCATTCCCATCTTCACACACAGGCTTCATCTACAGTCTGGGATTTTTTGTCTCTTGTGTAAAAGAAAGAAATAAAAAGTGTTTGAAACAAGCCCAAAACTGAGGGTAACATGATCATTTTAGTGATAAAGGCAGAGGATGTGAGATAAGCGTGTCATGTTCCTGACCCTAGCAAAGCATCCTGAGCACCACCGCAGCTCCGCACTGCACCCACGGTGCAGGCAGGCTGAACGCCTGGCACAAGCAGGCAGCTGTTGGGCAGCGTGGGAGGGAGGAATTGTTGATGGGGTAAGAGGAAAGGTGCAGGGACCTGTAACACAGCAAACTGGGAACAGCATGGAGACAAGTACCGGAGACTTGCTAGAGACAATTACACCTGCAGGCTTAAAGGACGTGATAAGCTATTTCTATTTTATCCGTTACCTTTCGGGTCTCTTCTAGTAAAAGCTGATGCTGTCTCAGTCTCTTCCTTTTTTTCATTCCTGCAGAGGGCTCTATCTACCAGGCAATCTGCAGCAAGGCCAGCACAGCCCAATTATTCATTCTAGTTATTTTTGCCCAAGCCACAGGAATGTTGAATTAATTTCAAGAGGCAGGGAGTGTATCTCGGAGTTGAAGCACGCGCTCACCCTGGAGAAGGAACGTGAAGGTTTTCTTCTGCTCGCGCCTGCAAATGTCTCCTGCATTGAATCTCTTTGCCACTGATGTGATACGGAGTGAATTTGCTGCCCACTGCTCCAGAGCACATGTGCTCACACGTACATTCACTCTTGCTTGGGGTTCAATGCAGGGAGGTAGGGTCGTGTCCAGAGGAAGGAAGAGAAGTCAGAATACGGCCCCTTATCTTAGCAACACCTCCAATATATGTGAAAGGAATATAAATACGCACTCGGTTAGTGAAAGATGCCCCAGAGCCTTGGATTTGCGTGAGAAATGTCTGTTCTAGTGCCTCTCAGGCTCATGCTCTGTGTGACAAAAGCCATCAAAATGTAGCCTGGTGTCTCTCTTCTACCCACAATAGGGTCTTGGGTGAGGCAATCCAGGCTAAGCCCTCCCTAGAGTTTACCTGGATCATTCCTATGACAGCAGGGTCATTCCAAGCTCTTCCCAGTCCCTCCTTATCCCAAATTCTTGCAATTCTCTTCAGGCTGCCGATATCCTTTCCTCTCCCTTCTTCCCCCAGACACCCATACACTGCAGAGTAGAATTATTCCTAGTGGGGACAGGGTGGGAAGGACAACTTGTGAGAGGTGAAACAATGCACAGAGACAGACAATTGTGTAATTTCCATCCATCAAACTAACCACAAGATTCAGGAGGCGATGGACCAGGTTTCTTCTCTCCTAGAGACTGAGATAGGGAGAGAGACAGTAAGTTTGAGTTTCCATTCCCTTTCCTTGGCTCCAGCACAGAAAATTCACTTCCAAACTCCCTCCTATACCATGCCCCTATCTCCTCAATGCCATCAACACAATGGTACCTGACGTTACCCACCAGCAATGCAACATGTGCAGTCTCTGAGTGGTATCCTTGACTTCACACCTGCTGAATACCGGTTTGTTTGGTATTGGGCAGGGTGTCTCAGGACAGGTCTATAAAACTTGACCATCCAGACGTATCTGGGGCCCTTGCAAATTTATGGTGGGAATAACTTGTGCAGCTAGAATGGCACCGCCAGGGAATGCGTTGCTGGCCACCGTCACACATTCCCTTTGCTGAGGGCAAGTGCAGCACCGCACACATGAATGCACACACAGAGACACACAGAGAGCCCTTCAGGTACTAAATATGACAGATTGCTATATATGTGGTAGATGTGTTCCTCTTTCTCATCATAGGCAGCATATGTGGCTCACACAGACGTACACGCAGAAGACTGACATTTATTCCCTTCCTGCCTAAGGACTCCTGCACATACCCAGTAATTCGTTTTCATAATAAATGTCCATCTACTTTCATAAAAGGGCTGGGAGGAGAATACCACAGATGTGTGGAACAGACCACATCACTGCATCCTGCCTCCTCCTCGTTTCTTCCCTTCCCCCTGTACCCTGTTTATCAGCTCCTTTTTGGGAGGCTAATACATTTTAAAAAGGCATTCTAGAAATTGTCTGCAGTGACAGAGATGGAGCAGCTGTGAGGAGAGACAGCAGTCTCATTCAGTACAGCTTAGGTATCTAGCAAAGGGTAGAGAAAATCTCTGGGAGGTGGAGGGGAAGGGCAGTGTACGAATGGAAACAGACTGGTCTCTGGGATTCAGAGCTGATCAAAGGGCATGAGTTGAACCTGTCTTTTTCCAGGGGGTGAATGCCCTTGGTAATGGGAGCTCGTGAACAAATGAGGGCCTGTGGGAAGGCAAGAGTCTGCAAGTGAGTTGGCCAGGAGTGGGGTTCAGTGGCAGGGTGGGAGCATCCATTTGAGATACTGTCCATCCCTGGCAGGCCTGAAACTGCTCAGCTGTGTGTCGTGCACTCTTCAGTGCAAAGGGAAAATCAAGCAGCTCTTTTCTGCTGGCTAAACACTGTTATCTGGGTTGGGACTGCCAGCCTTTTAACTCCCCCTGTGATGTACCATGTGAGCCCCCACAGCTCACACCCCCCTCCAGCAGTACAGGGATTGCCACCAAGAGGGGTCAACAGGTTTGCCAGCTTGTGCCATAAACCTGGATGAACAGAAGGCTATTACAAGGGCCTGAGAGGGATGGGAGCCAGTCTTCATACCCTCTGAGATCAGCCATTTGCATGGAAAGAAGCACAGCCATGCTGTATTGGAGCCAGTTTGAACGGTGCAGTCAGATTTGTGGGTCCAACAGGAGCAGTTCCTCCTGTCACTCATCCCTTATATTTGGTAGCTGGAAAGCAACTCGTTACCTGAGGTGGGGACCACTGAAATACTTCCTTCCTCTTAAAATTTTCTTTGAATGTGCATTTCACACAAATCTAGAGGGTAGGACGGCTCTCAAAAGCACCATGGCCTCTCTGCTGCACTATGTTCTGACTCACTTCTGTCTCCAGCCTGACAGAGGGCCAGTCCAGGGGGCTGGAGGAAGCCCAGGCAAACTGGGGTTGAGACCTGACCAGGGTTTCTTGGAGTGTCACTGCTGTCACATCTGCAGTGGCTCTGCCCTAAGTGCCTGTGACAGGGACGTGCAGCAGTCTCATCTTGCCATGCCATTTCCAATCCTGCTGCCTCCCTGCGATGAAGATGAATGTGAGCTGTCCCAGGTTATCACATTCCTCTGTGTACAGACGTCAGTTTGCTCCTGAGGGCTGATGCTATTGGGCTAACTGCAAGGAGGCTGCGTACGGTGGGACAGAAGGGACTACAAGGAAAGGGTCAGGGAGGACAGAGGAGATCTTGTGGGGGTTGTTGATGAAGAAGGGCTTGCAGTGACAAGAACAGGGCTTTCACCTCAGCTCCAGAGCAGAGGCAGCACAAATGTCAGGAAGAAGTAAGGTATGACATCCCTTGAACAGCCGGCAACCTTTGCCGCAGCCACTGTGTCACATCACCGCGGGCACTCCACATCACAACAGCTCTCCTCTTTCCGTGGGGTTGAAGAGCAAAGTCACTAGACGTGCCAGTCCAACTCTTCAGGGAGAGAGTGGAGATGGTGCAAGATGACCATCACATCTGGGCCCTCAAGGGCATAGCACGGGTAGGGAGAGGACCATATGCCCTCCTAGCACAGCATGCCTTTGCTCCTCTGCCTTCCTGAATAAGCGGGGTTACGTGTCCCTTTCTGCCTGTGAGTACAAACACAGATATAGACATGCGTGTGAGCGTGCTGTGTCCTGCACACACACACACCCAAGCACATCTGTGCATACACAGGTACACACACCGTCCACATGCATCCCAGCCCAATGCCTCTCCTTGCAGAAAGGCCCTGGCAAAACAGTCTGTAAGGGAAGAATGGAGATCAGAGAGGAGGAGGGAAGGGCAGTCCTCGTGGGGTTGGACAGCAAGCAGCATGTGGGGGGAGTGGAGCAGGACAGACTGCAGTGAGGTCTACAGAGACCATAGGGCTCCTGCCCCATGGGGGCTACACTAGTGGGAATGCAGCCCTTCACCTGGGGCAGAATTTGGGGAAGGACTGTGGTGGCTACATTAAGGGACATTGCAAGGTGAGGCATTTAACAGTCCCCTCTTCCTTCTGCGGTATTAGGCTGACCTTAAAGGACCTACAAAAAAGACATTTTCTGCTGCCTCTTTAACCGTGGTGGGTGGCAGCAAGGTGCCTGGGGTTGGCTGAAGAGGTGGTGATTTGTGCAATTAATGTCTAATCAGTTCTATGAATATTTATTGCTAGTCAGCATGCTCCTGAGTGACAGTGAAGCCCCATCTGATTGGAATCA